ATAACGTATTAGAACGTGAGCCTATGCAATCAATTTTTTTGATTGTTGCAGCCAAAAATGCTCGATTTTGCTGCGGCTTTTTTTTAAAAATTGCGAAACAACTCGGAATCTTTTGTGCTTTTTCAGAAAACTACTTGAATTAGCAAACTTGCAGTTGCACGAAGTTGTTTTGCACTGATGTTTGTAGGTAAATGAGACCTTTTAGCTGTACTCATGTTCGACACGCATGAAACGAAGAGGGCTTTGGCTGAAAGTGCGTTGTGATGACGTCACATGACAAGTCTTGGCCCAAATTGGCAGAAAATCTATAATAATTTTGAAAAATTGCAAGCTCCTCTGAATATCGTGGCGTCAGCTTGATTTTGCGTTTAAAACCCTATCGTTCATGTGCATAGCCAGAACTACCGGTGATGTTATACAAAAATAATGCACACCTTCTGACCAATCAGATTCCAGAATTCAAAAGCAATGTGGTAGAATAATTGTTAATGTCTTACTCATTTTTATAAAAGGAGTTATAAAGTCAGAGTATTACACAATTTAACCAACTGCTTCTTAAAACTTATGTAACTAGAGTTCTCATTTTTACATGGTAACGGAAAGAAGAAAAAAAAAACAAAAAAAAAAAACACACAACTCTATCACATATGCCCACCAGATGCAAGATCTGCATTATTCATGCTAAAATGAACTGAAAATTTATGAGCGTAATGGCCGGACGAGTGTGAAGCGACGTGGTACAGATCAGGCTGTGGAACGCACGCACGTGGATGAATTTACCATGCGTTCTGACTCATCTCACAGCCCACATGTTCGGCAGCCAGTCTCCTGAAATAGACCACGGTGTCATCCAAAAAAACTCAAACTAACGTCCCATCACTGAGCCGAGTGTATTCTCGAGTGAGCCAGCAGCTGTGTGTATACGGCTTTCTCTAGATATGCTGTGGTTTCGTCCAGGACATCTAAAGTCATTATTACAACGCCCGGTCTCAAAACAGCTCAACCTTGAACAGGTCTTAGCCTTTATTGTTATGTGAACAGCTAAAGATCACAAACAGCAGCCTATAAATACCATGCATTACAATGCAAGGAAGAAAAAAAAAAAAAGAGAGCACGAGAGAGAGAGAGTTTAGGGAGAGACCTGAGGGGGAATGAGGCCTCCTAAGCGTCGGACAAACAGCTCCGAAAAGGCTGAGGAATGCATGAACCCTGCCAGATTTCAGAGACTCCATTAAAATCCAGACTCCGCATGAGCACGGAGAGCTCGACAATGCTTAATAGCTCATGTCCGACGACTGCAGAACCGAGTTTTCTCTCTGTGCCATGACAAAAAGACAGGCTTTGTCATCTTAGGTTTGCTGACATAAAGATCAGCATGGCCAACGCCTACTGCTGTAAAAGAAAAAGCATTGTTAGCATTTGCTGCCTGCTATCTAGTGTTTGTATAAGGAGAGATGGAAAGCTTTGGCTCAAAATAGCCAGTAGGGTCAAGGTGACTTGCACGAGAAACCGGTTGCGAATGAACCTATAAATACCACATATTTTCCTCAACAACCTTTTTTTAGAAAAGATTTGTAAATAACAGCCACTTTCTTTTAATTGAGGCCTTGGCTCTGTTTAGTCAGACATGTTCATCCATGCCACACTACAGTCCCTTATTAGCACCCTTTGCACACCAGGCAAGTCTAAGCGTAGTTCCCTCCAATGACTCAGAGTGAAGCACTCAACACAATCCTTTTTTTACAAGGGAAAATTGGGGGGGTAGTAGGTGTTACAAAACCGGTGGAAAAAAAGGTACTTGACACATTTATGGAATGCACCAAAATAAAAAATAAAAAGTTTGGTGCATGACACAATGCGTAGCATGTGCTACTATTATGCATCACTCCTATGCAGAGTTTCTGGACAAACAACTAAATCAATGTAAGTGCCATTTCCCTGGATTATTACCCTGTAAAAGGTCATCAGTGAAAGGTAATGAAATGACCGGTGCCACAATGACGCACTGATCAAAGCCGTTTTATCCCAAGCTTGCCCGGCTTAATGAGCCAGACAAATGGCAAAACAGTATGCCTGAAATTTGATGCTCCACGCAGCAGGACATTAGGTACTGTACCTAGGTGTCTCCATCCAGTCTACCAAATGTCATATTATATAGCAGGCAAGCTCAACGTGCAATTGCGTGCAATCACCATTAGGTGCGATTTTACATACACCTTATGTCCCAAATGTGTTTACTGTCCACTCTGTAAATACAGGAACTCTAGAATATACATCCTGCACATTTCCGAATGACTTCTTATCTCTGCAGTTCTCCTCTACATACGTTTCTGACACCACAGAGGCGGAGACTCATTAAAGATTAAAGAAAGGTTTCAGCCAAACAAAAGGTAATGTAGAACTGCCTGTGCATGGAAACTAGAGATCTCATGTGAATCAGCACCGTTAAGCCTTCTTCAAACTGCGTAAATCTTACCTGGGAATGGATTCTAATTTTAACAGATTACTCGAGCCAAAATATCCTCAATTGTCAGCAATCTCATTTCTTACAGTAGTGCAATAACTAAACCTGGTAAAAGCCACACCTATGCGCCATGGTGGTGGTGTTATTGATTGTCGAATCCGTCGCGTAATGCTGACACGCATGTCCGAAGTATGACGGATCAATGTTGTGTTCGCTTGAGTGACCTGCACGAATACTTTCTCCGGTCGGAATCCTATAATCCGTCCTGAAATAAAAACAGTCCAGTGTGAAAAAGCACTTTAGGTAATCATAAGCGACATTCGCGTTTGCTTGCGCGAACTGGTCCTTTATGCCTCTGTAAACAGATCAAAGAGAAGCAGCAATGATGCGGAATAAATGCTTCAAACGCTGGTGCTTCTCTTAAGAGGAAGATTTTTTTTTTAAAACCCATCGAATATTACCTCATCTCTTCCTTATGCCTTTAGTAAGAACTGGATGAAAACAAGATGCTGGAGTCTCCAGCAGCGCAGGGCTTCGGAGGACCTCCAGAGAAAGTCGAAAGAGAAGACAACCCCAAAAAATAAATAAATAAATAAATAAATAAATAAAACAATTCTAGAAAATCAAGCTACGCATCTTCACACAGAGAGCTTTTGAGCGATTCAAAGAAAATAGAGGAGTAGTAAGTAATCGTTGAAGTTGTTTGGATAGGCAAAGCTTGCGAAACAGTTCAGGACGTGGACATGACGGGGAGCCACAGCTAGTCTTCTCTCCTTGTAACTCAAGCAAAGACCACCCAGCAATGTGGATACTGATTCAGCTGATTGAATTCAAGTCCTGGCAGAAAAGTCACATCGTTTGGATTAAAAAAAAAAAAAGTGTTAATGTTCACTATAATGTTTCTGAGTACAATACATAAATATAGCGAATGTTTCTATGTACAGGAAAGAGACCCCTGTTGTTATACAAGTAGAAATGAGAATCATTGCTGTTAATGTTGTTTTTAGGTGTGCATGTTTTCCACAAATGCACAGTGGATATAAGGCAGTCTAGAATTAACGTGTGCAAGGTTTGGCAAGAGTTAGTCGTTACCAGAAGAAATGCTGGAGGAGTTTTGTTGTCGGTTGGTAAGATTTATGTTGAAATTATGTGGTGCACAGTAACTAACTTGCCTTAGGAAACAATCTGAAAGCCAACTATTTAGACAGAGTGGAACAGTAAAGACAGCTGAAGGTTTTTGTGAAAACACCAAGTCCTCTTAGATTACATTTTGCATACACAATTAATACCATGTGTGGATTGTTCAGGCTGGATTTCAACATGGCAACTTGTGTGGGGGGGGGGTAAGTGGAATTTAAAATCATACACCAAGGCTAGCTTGTGGAATGCAAGACAGCTGTGTATAAATTCGGCAAAACTGACTGTAAACGCAGGGCCGATAAGACCTCGAAAGACCTCAAGGTTTGCACATCAGGAGTGTACACATCATGGACAACGTACCTCACAGTTCGCTCTTACTGCATCTCAACCACCAGGCTGCTCCCTGAGGAAATGCAGAATTAAATTTAGCTCAAGCTGCAACATGGCCGAGTAAATAAACAAGGGTGCAAATGGTAGGCCAGTTGAAGTGGCACAATCAAAGCTTCTATGCACTACGCTCTCAAGATGAGCGAGTCCTGGTGGTGAAGAAGTCCAGCTGAAAATAGGGGCCTGTCCTCGAATCGTCTCAAAGTAGATTTATATTTATACGCAGTGTGACAGCTTGAGAAAAAGGTGCTGCTCTAGAGCACTTGCCATGTGCGTCAAATGGTCCCGAGCCTTTAATTGGACCAAGGATTTGGAGAACTGCTCAGTGGACTTGATGGGCTGCCAATGTTTCAGAGTTTATTTGGTATGCAGAAATGAGTTCTGATATGAATCCGGTTTGTCATCCTGGGGATCAGGTTGTGAAGCGATATTCTATGTACGAGCCATCGACCCCTCGAATCCAGAGATCCTGGATTTATCTCTGGATCTGGTATTTCCTTTAGGCACTGGCCAACACAAGATGGCTACCATATGCCAGCTTTTCACTGAGTTTTGGATGCTTTCCCAGGACATTTGAAGCCATAGCCAGCTGTGCACAAAGCTAGACTGCGCACCTTTTCTAACCATTACACAGATAAATAAAATAGAACTGTAGAAATGTATCCCAGGTAAGCTTATGTGGTTTTTATACCAAATCCTACTAAATCTTTACATATTTTGAGTAGGAATTCAAAATTTAAAACTGGAGTATGCTGGTACTATCCATCCATCCATCCATCGTACCATTTATCCTGCACGGAGTCATAGGGAGCCTATCCTGGGGCAAAAGGCAGGGGATACCCTGGACAGCCAGGGTGTCAGTCCATGGCAGGGCACAATCGTACACACACTCATTCATACACTACGGACAATTAGGGATGCCAAGATTCCAACAATGCAGGTCTTCAAACTGGGGGAGAAAATCAGAGAACTTGAAGGAAACCCCCAAAACACAGTGAGAACATGCACGCACACAGGCGGGAATCGAACCCCAGACCCTGGATGTGCGAGACAAGCGTTCAAACCACTAAGCCAACTGACGTCATTTTTCTTTTAATCTGGATATTAGATAACCAATTTGTAAAACGATTATATATCCTATATTACACATATTCCACGCTATATTCTTTCACTGTTTAGTCCACATTACTGTGGAACCACCCAAAAATCCACCATCTAGCCGTTGGCAATTGCTTCTGCCAGCAAGCAGTTCCAGACTACACAGGTGGTAATAATAAAAGTACGTTCTCCGTAATCCTGACCATGTTGGAAATACTCAGTTTTGGAAGATTAAAACCATTAATTATGATTTTTAATAATAATTTCTTTTTTTAAATTAATATCACACAAGTGTAGTTCCAGACAAGGGATGTCGCGAGAAGCGTACTTCGCTACCAAGTCGGTACCAACATTCTTAAAACGTGACGGTACTTGTTTTTCTGCAGTAGCGTAGGTACCAGTATTAATCACCTATAAGCTATTACTGAGGTTGCAATTCTTCCGGAACTGAAACACGATCCTATATTATGTGTGTTTGTGGCAGCTGGTATTGTAGCCGTGAAACCAGCTAACGTTATGCTCCATGTAATGTTTGCGATAGACTGTTATTTGTTAACGATGCTAACACATTGCAATGTTATAAACTACCGCCGAATGGGCCACCATGCATCGTCACTCAGCCCGTGTCCTGTCAGCTAAATGTAGCCTAATGTCTGATAATTATTCAGGTTAATGATTCTTTTTGGCCTGCCACCAAATCAAATATGTAATTATTTATTACACCAAATAAGGTGCGTGTGTGTGTGTGTGTGTGCATGGGCACGTTTAAAACTTGTTATAAGAACTTAGCAATGTTTTATTAGTCATTGTCAGACAGTGTTTGATAACTAAAATATCTCTCTCTCTTTTTTGCCAGTATTAGCCAGAGGAGGATGTCCTCCAGGAGTTTTTAAGATTTATTAAAAAAATTTTAAACAATTTTAAACCACACCGTGGTATCGACTTTGGTACCGAGTATCGTGTAATAGTACCGTGACATCCCTATTCCAGACCTACTGATTTCCTTGTTCTGTGGTTGCAGACTTGGGCAGCGGTCTTGATTAGAAACTTGCGATTACAAAAGTTCCATCTGGAAGTCAGCAGAACCTTTCATGGAAATGCAAATAATCGTCGGTTGAAAAGAGCAGTCATGATTTACATCAAGCAAGAGGATACGGCGCTGTGAGTCACCGTTACACCAAAGTTGGAAACTCTCGCTGACCCAAGCGGCCTGTTATAATCACCTCTCACCTACCAAAGACTAGCGGAAGTGCTCGCTTTGTCTGAATAAATGCCTCGCTCAGAACGTTACTGCTCATTCAGTCTGCTAGAGACGAAGCTCAACAGCTTGGCATTTAACAAGGCGCCATAGTACTGCTGAGTGTAATTACAGAGGCAATGCTCACTCCGACATGCTACCACATCGTGGACAGCACTAAGGTCCACAACACAAACGTGTCTTTTGCACTAGCAATGTAAATCAAAGTCAGATGGCTCGAAGCCCGCTAGCAACGAGCACATCCGTGGAGCTTTCGAGACAGTCTCTTGCTTTTGTATAGCAAGTGGCACAAGAAATATGGGTTCGATTTCAGCTCAGCGCCATATGACTCATGGGGAGAAAATGCTCTAGAATGGATTCAAAAAGGTCAGAAATGACTGCAGCATCCTCAGCTTGTCACAGAAACAATAACACAAAAAAACAAAACTTAAAAAAAAAAAAAAAACCCAGCGTCGGGTTGTAAAACTCTGTTTTCCATGTACGATCGTCTTCCGAACTCTTGATCCATTCAGCAGGCAGCGAGCTTGCGTCAAAGCTTGCAGGTGTGTGCCGTTCCTCAGCATACGATTCCCAAACAGTGGAATGCTCTCTCTCCAGAAGATAAAGTACACTGGCCCCCATGAGTCATAGCTGCTGGGAAGCGAATGAGTATTTTATTACCGCTGTTCCAACATGCACAGCTCATGTGCAGCTTCAACCCCCGACACGTCGAGAGCATGCTGGCATCCAGCCACCAGCACTGCACAGCTCTCCAGCCTGCAAACATAGCAATGTTTAAGCGTTACCACCGATACCAGCCCGGTCTTATTCTTAGGCCGTGCAATCCACACTTTGGTGTGTTCCATCCCCAAAGGGACTACGGTTGCCCGTGGCTCCTTTTGTGGCTGTAGCTCGAAACCGAGATCTGTTCGAGATAAAAAAGGCTTTGACATGATCAAAGGAGATGCCAAAACGGCCTCAGCTAAGGCTGAAAATATAAGACTGTCTGCTCTTACAAATAGCTCTCAAGGGAAAACAAAGGGTGTGTGCTTTTAAATCGACGCTGGTTGGTTTGCTCGGATTTGGCCGGAGAAATACCTGAATGCAGCCAAGTCAGACATGCGACACGACGGAACAACACTATGCACAATGTCTGTTCGCAGAAATGAACTATTTGGACTTAGTCGATTAAAAAGTTATGACGGGTCATGTGGACAGGAAAATTAAGATCACGACTGCCTGCTTTTAAAAGAACACCTTTCAGTCCTTGGACAATAAGCTGGACCAAGATGACACAACTTCAACCTTACAACTGAAGTGAGAAGAAGGGAATTTAGATAGTTTAAACAAGGAAAGGCGTCTTACCAGTGAACAGTGAGGCCAAGTTATTCATACAGTACTTCTCTGCTAACCACAGTGTACTCTATCAACCCTCGCAAAGCCACATAAGTGTGCTTCGTTTATTCTCCTTTATAATGTGGTGCAGAGGAGAACCAATGTCAACAGAAAAACTGGTCAGGCCAATTAAAAGACATTTAAATTATGATCTATAGTGGGGTTGTTGTTTTTTTGTCCTGAACGCCTGAGCACTACTTGTGTATGGATGCATGCAGTCTATCTAGAAAAAACACAACAACAAATAATAACGGTTAGGGCTTTTTTTTTTTCTTTTTCTTAAATGTACTCACGTCAACCAGTGTACTACAATTAGAAGATTCAGAAATGCCAGATATATTTAAGGCACTTACTGGTTGCTAATTACAGAGAGGAAATATTGGCAAGAATTAGATTGCCTTTACATGGATAATGTCTTAGCCTCTTGGCAAAGCTTTATGTAATATTGCAGGTTGCATGTATAATTGAATTCTGTGATAGAAAACATTTTATATGATATATGACTGACCACGTATGGCTCTTTTTTCCATATGCGAAATATACTGTTAACATATTACCAAATTTAAAGGTCATTCCTCCCAGATGACAGCATGTACGTCCAAAATTTCATGCTGAAATTATCCAATTTTGCAGCAAACTAGTCTGAATCCAAGCCTACTTATAATTTTATTTATTTATTTTTAAAGCTCGTGGACATCTACATTTGGATAAAAAATTAGTCTACATGGGGGGGCGGGTGATTTCTGAGAGAACAAAACACAGTAATGTGAATCCGGTGCACCATTTAAAGACTCAGCAGTGCTTATGTTGCTGTGCAGACGTTCTGGTTCTCTAATGAAGCTGATAACATTACAACAAATCACTCTTTTCATGCAGTTTGGCACCATCATGTCCTGATAACTTACCAGGCTAGTGGACATCCTAATTACTCGTTTGCATCTGGGAAGTCTTTTATTCGAGAACACTTCATAAACAATGTCCTAACACAGTGTTTTAAAGCTGCCTGCATTCTGGGTATATTATATATATATATATATATATATATGTTCTTCACGTGCTCGTCCCCGATGCTTCCTGGGATAGGCTCCAGGTTCCCCGTGACGAAGGAGTAAGTGGTAGAAGATGGCTGGAAGGATGGATAGATATCTATATATCTCTATATATCTCTATATCTATATATCTCATATATATTATATATATCCATCCTTCCAGCCATCTTCTACCGCTTACTCCTTCACAGCCATCAAAATCTGTTGTGGAAGAAGTTGTGCAAAATGTAATGACTGGTAAAGACACATGGATTTTATAAGCAGTTTCAGGAAAGAGGCTGGTCTTGGGAGGTTTAAAAAACAAAAGTGCCTCAAATATGAATTTGAAACTGATTTCCTGAACAGCAGTACGGCAGTATGAACCCACATTATTTAACTAATACATTACAGCCATTCCAAAAAGCATGCTGAAATACGAGCTGGAAGTGAATGTGTTCAATGTATGAGAAAATTGGACTTGGCAAGTCGGTAAACTGTTGAAGATTCTGTTCTCGAAAAGGCGAACGAGAAAGACAAAATACAGACTACAACACATCAAACCATAAGCAACATTCTATTTTGTCGTATATTAAAGAGCAGGTACGTTTCCGTCATACTCGAGCTTTCTAAAAACCCAGAAAACCTCATGTTTGCATTCCTTCCTGTGCTATGGACCATGAGCCATCCACTTTAGAGCAGAGGAATGCACATCTGGATACATCTTCCCTGTGTATATATTTTCTAGCTACTCCTTGAAAATGCAGCTCCAATGTGCTAAGATCTAAAAATAATGAAAAAAATATATATATAAATAAATGAATACATGGGAAAAAAAAAGGCTGACATGATGACTGAATCAAGTGCTGAAACAAACTGAAACAAAGACTTGGGTTCTCAAAGAAGCAAAGACTCTTGAGCACAAGCGGTCCCAACATAGTCAAAGACAAAAGCTCTTCAAAAGATTACGGTATTTTAAACGTACTGTTCCTGCTGAAGTCCGAAAGGTTCAAAACAATCCCCCTCTGTGTAAATCCCACACCAAGAGGTGCGGTAATTGTAGTGTGGCTATTGGCACAAGGGCCCTTAAGCAGGTAAGGCAAAGATAAATACTGCAGGGGAGATGTAAACAAAGCTTCTGATGAGGGCATGGCTTTGATTTCAGTCCACATGCAGACCACACGGCTTACAACTTTTTTTTATGGAATCTAATGGAGAAGAATGGAATGGAACAGAATGCCATGAAACGAACTGGTGGAATAGAACAGAAAAGAATAGGTTTAATTGTTTGCACGGTTACTTCGCACCTCCAGGGCTGGGGGTTCGA